CGCGATGCGGTAGCCACCCCACCTGGTGGTACATATCCACAGCGGCGCAGAGCGCAGTTATAGCTGCCTCGGGTTGCTCCTCATCCATCAAACTGGCTCCTTTCTGCAATTAACTACTTAGTTCATTTTTTATATATATATATAGATTCACAAATTACTATTGATGTATTTAGTTTATTTTTGCAATGAATATAGTCAAATAAGTACGCACAATAAAAATAGATACACATTAACGAAGATGACTCGTGTTGACCTAAATGTCGCCCATGAGCCTGTTTTGGCGGGTGCTTTTTGATAGTCTGTTCGCAAATCTTTAGGAACGAAGTCATCGGCATGTGAAATATTAATTGAATTGCTTCCACATAATCCAATAACAGCATCAAGTCAGATACGAGAGGGATTATGGTTCCGGTAAGCGAATGCAATTATGCCATTAGCTGCAATGCGGCGTCGTGTTGGAGTGTTAATGGATTTAACAGCGTTAGTAATAGCTGCATACTGATTGTGTAATCTTTAACGTTCATATTATTTAAGTTTTCACACCCTCAAACTTCCCTATTTTATTGCACGTTCAAAAGATGTGAGAAAATAATGTGCAGTTGGATTTACAGAATAAAACCGTAATAATCGAATACTCGTAGTTTATTAAGTGTTTAGTTTAAATCTTTAATCTCCTTGTAACAACACCAACAATCTCCATTCTCATGTATTTCGTTCTTTAAACAAACTTTATGTTATTTGAAACTGTACCCTAGATTCTAAGGATAGTGAAAATCAAAAATAGAGTTTCAATTTGATATACAATTTCAGTTTAAGGTTGAAAATCACTGCTATTATCGAAAATTAAATTTATAATTTTCAAATAACACTAGTGATTGGTTTCCAGTAGAAACTAATCAAACAGGTGCAGACCTCGTTAATTATTCAGCGTCCGAGGCGCACCCGGCCGGGGCAGTGTAGTACTGTTGCCTGAATAGTTAGCAGCCCCTCAAAGAGAATACCCATTAAAACGTTAATTATGCCTAGTTAGGCGGTTGGTTACTCTTTAAAGAACTTCGCATCATTACAATCTACATTTCGTTGAGTGCGTTTTAATTTTTTTATCACACTAACGTCCGAATTTTAGAACGAATGTGCCTCCATGGTTTTTATGCATCCTCACCTTATATGCCGCAAGGCACCTTTCAACTGTTTCCATATAAACTTTTATTAAGCCCTTCTCAATAGGTACGGAACATTTTGGACATTTTTCTGGTGTTTTATCTGTATTCGGTCTGTATTTCCAGGAACATGATATGTTTGGACATCTGAAATGTGTAAAATGGTTTTGAAAATTTACGATAATGCTAAATACATTGGAAAAAAGTTGCGGTGATTGTAATCATTGTAATCATTGTAAACATAGTTACAAATGCAGTCATTCCTTTTTGTGTCTTTCGATGTCAATGACATTTTGCAAAATGATAATGTTTTGATAATTTAAGAGCCCTCGCGGACGACAGACTTTGTAGTATAAATACCTTAGAATCGGATCCTTAAACTTCATCTGCTTAAGAATCGGCCAGTCCTCGTAGCAAGCGAGGCAGTCGCATTTGAACCAGTATCTGCAGGCAAGGGACTTCTGGCGCTCAGGGAGGTTCCGCACCAAAACATTTGGCCCGTAATTCTCAGAGACGATTTCACCAGGTTTGAGAGGTCTGATTGCTCGCAGAATAATTTTAGAACCTTCAAAGTACCTATAACAATACTTTAAAGGTTATCTACCTTTTAAGTACGAAGAAAGTTAATCCAAAGTTTACTTAATTTTGACTATTTAATACAACTAGTTTAACAAAAGTTGTAAGATAACATTACAAAATTGTTTACGTTAATGTGAAACGGAGTCCAATTAAGCTCGTATGATTGAAGCAGACGATACTTGAGGCACGCCTTCCTGGACACATTATACTCAGAGGATTAATATGAAATATTCTTTGCCGTTGCTATGTTTATTAATCTCGGCTCTTTACATCAAACTACGAATGTTACATAGTGATACACTCGGAGTTGGTTTTAGTCAGTTTTCTCTTTGAGGTACTCTACAGTTCATAACTTTTGGTTTTAGAATTTGAAGGATCTCGACTGAAAACCGGATAGTTTGAGAACTTTGGTCTTGCAAACGTGTCTCACGTTTGTAAGACTAAAGTTTATCGAGTGATGTGATGTTATTTAGTTCGCGAATGTTATCATTTCGTTAGATACCTTCAAACATTACACACAAGAAATTAATTTCAGATGTACTCTTTACGCTAGTTCGTACTGTATGTTTGATACTTTATCATACTGTTAATTAATCTTATTTGTCTAAAACTCTAACAGAGGACTTGCTCTATCTATCTTTAACGTATCCTAAATAATAATGGTAAAGGTAAAACTATGAATACACCTTTACAGCCCGCTAATATCTACAATTGATGCACAGTGTGTGTAAAATTGCGAACCGTCATAAAACGTATGGCACTGTACCTTGCCACCGCTGGGCTGCATTCGTGGTTGAACAGTGCGCCGGTACAGTAAATGCCGACTGCAATGTACACTGGCTTTGACCCTGTGAACATGTGCGCACCTCGAAGCGTCTCGTAGATCTCATGCGCATTGAACTGAAGTAGCTGGAGGTTCTTTATTATCAGCTTGCAGATAGATAACTCATCTGAAATATTAAACAAACAATTTAATAACATTTTTTTGGTAAATCATGAATGGAATAATTTCACTAGGAAATCATAATTTAACTTACTTGAATCTTGCTCTCCATTTTCTTTATCCTTGAAGAAGCCACTTCTTTTTAAACATTCAGTCAGGAACATCGCTATCACAATCCTTTTCAAATAATCGTCTCCGTTTCTTTGTTCCGAGTGAGTACAGAGTCTATATACTTCATCTGCTTGCTTCAATAATTCATTTTGTTTATCTTCTAAATTATTTTCCTCCTCCTTAGTAACAACATCACCGGATAGTATACCGAGACCCATTCTAGTACGTGTTACTCTTTCTTTTCGATTCCTTGTTTTTGATTTTCTAGGATTCGTTTTTACGCCAGTGGCAGAAATTTCTTCAGATGGCAAAAATTTTGAATATACGTCTAGACTCGTTTCGAGACCCAATTGAGTGACCATCCTTAATGCTATATGACTGAGGACCGACATTCCTGCCCCTTTGAATAGCAAGAAAAACAAAATTTAAAACCATTCGACTATTGCTAGGCAGTGTCAACCGCAATAGATTACAATATAGTTAGTATTAATAATTTATAATCTTACCTATAAATAATCCCATAAAAGGACATTCGTATAAATGATATGTGGAGACAGCGATATCCCTGCACTGAACGTTACAAAAAGCTACTCCCGAACATTTTGGACACCACACGGGAGCTACTTCCACGCAGTCTTCCAACCTAAACGAATTATTACATCGCAGTAAGTGGTTTAAATAATTTATTACATATCATATCAAGTGTTTTTGTGTACCTTTAAATAACTTCAATAAAATAAAGTTGATGAAATAATTTACAAGAACCTTTACCTTCGTAAACAATGGTGACAATGTGTACCATAATATTTGTGGAAAAGGCACGCCGCATAGGGTTTATCAATCAGAAGTACGTTTCCAGTTTTAACTGGCTTAGAAGCAACAGCATATCGACCCTGAAACCAAACATGTTATTTGTAATAATAATTTTCAAGTTTCAGGATTAGGAAAAGAGGACCAGTTCAAGTCTATATCCTTTTGCTTAAATAATATATTTAGAGTTAAAAAAATATGGATGTAATACATTCCTAAAGATACTTAAACTTGTTTAAACAACTTATTATTGTCTATTGTAGTAATTTAATTAATGATCGAGTACCTTCGTCTCGTTCTCTGTTATTTCTATCAAGTTGGAGAGTGCCGGCATGGCGTGTTTAGCGCCGCCGGAAAGCACAGCACCTGTTCAACAGAATGCATATAGAATTACGGGTTAGTTTAGGTTCTTAAATGGCTTACGTAATCCTACACTGAGCTATTGTCTTTTTAACCGATTAACTTTTGGAAAATCCAATACAAAAAAGATTAGTGTGTTTAATACATATAGGTTATGTGTAAGTAATGATATACCTTTGCGGCTTTCGGAACGTTTCAGTGCCAGGGAGTAGTCTAGAGATTCCATGTCTTGCTGCAACTGAATTTTAGCATTTTCATCGTTTGTTAACAATCTGCTCGCTATTTCATACGATACTTTAGCTCTTGTCGCTTCTCCGACACCTAAAAATTAAAATGGAAATGAGGTATCATATGCATTATCTGTTTTAACATTTAGTTAGACATACCTTTATAACAATTTCCTAATCTCCAGTAATATTGGCCACGCATCCGAGCTGGTATTCGTTCTTTTAAAGCCATCTTCAAATCTTCAAGGGCCGCTTCGTATCTGTCACATCTCATTAGAATTTCGGAGCGCAACCACAGCCCTAGTGCGAGGGAGACGCCGCCGTCTACTGACTCGTCCACGTCTGTATGTGATTAAATTATTTTTATTGGTATCAGATGATTTTTTAATTTATATTAAAATTATTAAAAACGTATTATGTGGTAACATTACTAATCATAGGTGATCTCAGCACGGCTTGACTCGCTAGGCCCAAACTCTTCTCAAGCTCCCCGTCTCTCATGGCTTCAGCCGCGGCATTGCGCTTCTCTTGCGCAATCTTAGCGTCTTTGTCCCGGTAAATGGGTTGGATTCGAGAGAAGACTTCTTTTAGAGCGTTCATTAACTGCCAAAATAAAAATAGGTCATCCAAATGATGATACTTAAATTTGCTTTCGCTGAAGCCGCACATACAAACCTTTTTATTCGTCATTACCGCCTCGACTTTTTTCTCATTTTCGATAGTTTCAAATAATTCCAACCAATTGTCTTCGTTGGCTAATGCGACGAGTTCTTCGGCAAGATTCTTAAGGAATCCAACCTGAGTAGAATAAAGCATCATATCGCCACATTTCTCTGCAAAAGTGGGATCTATATCTTCATAAACGTTAGACATATCTAGAAATTAAAATGTTAATTAAATACTCGTAAGTAGTTTGAATGTTTGTCTATATAATTAATGATAAAGATGTAATATTATTTTGGTATTGTTATATCGAGAATTAGTCACGGTCACAGTTCGCGAGACGTTAGCAACGTTGCACAAATTAAGCACGTGGACAAATCTTCTTTATGGAATGGTTGCAACATTGACAATGACATTGGACGTACGAAAAATGACCCGCATATGAAAAATAATTTTTCAACGCGAGTCGATCATTTGCTTTAAAACATACAAAATTCATTATTTGTCGTTTTTTTCTATAGTTTTGTCAATTTTCTTTTAATTAGCTTCTATACATTTAATTTTTAAGCGTATTATTTCATGGAAACTGATTGAAATAGATGTTCTTTACATGGAATTGTTTGGTAAGCATGGGAAAATGCATGGAACTGAACGCTGTGTTTTGCCGAAAATACACGCATTGTAAGTCAATACTATGTTTTGTGGTTTGATTACTTACATCTAAAAATTGTAGTTCTGAACAACCTAACAGATTTCATTAAAAATACACTAAAAACAAAACAAAATGCACTAAAAACAGAACAAAATACACCAAAAACAAAATATTCTCAAAAAAACAGTACACTAAAAAGTAACGAAATAATTCCTTGAAAATAGTAAACCTACCTTATTGTAAGTGTTATGTCTATATTGTACAATTATTATTACTTTGATGTCGGTGTCAGCCAAGGTATGCAGTGATATTTCTACGTAAGGGTTTCCACATTTTTACCATAACAATTAACAATTGAAAGTATAGTAACAATTAAGTAATGAATCTACTTAACTGTTACTATATTTTCTATACTAAGTAATTTTTATGTAGGTCTTATAGTCTACGTAAGCAAAGAAAGCAAAAATGACCCGAAATTTCGTCGCGCGATTTTGAGCTAAACTATTTAACTACGTCGTAGTCTTTGACTCCAAAAATCAAACAAAAAAATGGGACCCACCTGCAAGCATTACCTTTCGGATAAAAAATGAATTATCAAAATCGGTCCACTAGCGGCGGAGTTATGCCGTAACACACATAAAAAAAAAAAATAAAAAAAAAACATACAGACGAATTGAGTACCTCCTTCTTTTGGGAAGTCGGTCAAAAATAGTAATAAAAGGTAAACATGAGGTCGCAAGACATTATTGATCCAAATATAAAATATCATCATTTAAAATTATCATGAAATATTGGCTTTGGCTTTGACCACTTATGTGTTGTGACCGCACTGCAATACTTTCAAACTACCCTACGTGTGGTTTGTCAAATTAATATTTCCTTCAACAATGGGATATAGATACAGCCTGATAGGTATATTGTATATGGTATGTTGTATCACATTGTTGTGACAATTGTGCATGTTGAAATATAAACGGTGAGTTTTTTTTTTAATTGGGAACCGAAATTGGATTCTTGAACTATTGCCGGCTGCGAGTAACTACTGACATTTAGTCCACTGGAATCGCCCCATTTGCTAAATTTAGTACGAGATACTATTTAAGACCACTCTTTCGATTGTTTTGATTCGATTGAGAATTTCAAGGAAATCGTGGAATCGAAATCAATATTCGTGTTTTAATCACGAAACATTACGTGGTCTTACAGCGGATTTTGACTAAAGCGATAAGTATTAAACACATATTGTGATGTATGTAACTTAGATAGTTGAGTTAAATAATAACTTTTTACATTTTCATGTGGTTTGCTGATATGCTCACAAGTCCACAGAGCATTAACGTAATATCTTTCTCGGATAACTCAACGTTACATTGATCAATTCCTCGAGAAAAAGTAATGCAGATTAAGTTTTAGATGACTTCGCTACTGGGATTCTCTACAAGTTTAATTGCCTTATCGGGTAATTATAGGTTGGTTTGATTTTCAAGTCATTGTTTTTCGACCCTCTTTAAGACAACGTATTCCAAAAAATATTTGAAACTTCTTCGATGTCGGGCTGAAGAACGAAAAAAGAAACTTCGCGGGTCCCGTACAAAGTTCGGCAACACCCTGACCCCCACCAATGAGATCAAAAACGCAAACATAATAATACTGAGGAACTATTGTTATTTGCTGTCTGCTTAATAATTACTATTATCTACATTGTAAAAATGCTTCTTGGTCTTAAATAAATAACAATTATATCAAATTTATTTTCTCTAACGATTCGAAGTTACGGAAGAAAAAATCATAAAAAAAACAAGACAACAATTTTGACGGGTCTCGAAATGCATGCGCTCCGCTTGGTCAATATTTTACGCATAAGTTTTAAATAAATTTATCATTGTTACGTTTGAATGCAAAAAATGTCAGACCTAAAATTATTAACTTTAAAGAAATTAGTTAGGAACATTTTCCTAGGGGGCTAATATTATCACAAATCATTATTACGCAAGGAAAATGTTCAGACTAATTTTGACAACAAAAATAGTTCGAAATATTTGAGCTGAGCTACAATAAAACTTATCGCAACGGAGCTTTGTATCTCTAGATTTTTTACTATTGTAATAATAAAATAGGTGGTTTAAAATTGTTTTATTTCTATATACAATTAATAATTCGACTCACCGGTAACAAATATTCAGCACAAATGTTGAAATGTTTAGAGGAGCACGTCTGTGCTCCACTGGTACAGCCGTAATATGTTGCTAAAATTAAACGCTGCAAATACTCAAATTTTAAGTTTTATTTACACGCCAAGGAAATTAATTACAGCGCCCTCTAGTGTCTATTCGTAATATGTTAATTAAAATTATTGATTTAAGAGAGGAAATATTTTGCTTGATTGTAATTAATTTAAGAGCGGCTTTATTGTTTTCTTTTTCACTTAGGTAGGTTGAGAAAGCTTTTCATGTCGTTGCACATTGTTTTTAAAGTTTTAAATTAAGCGCCTGCAAAAATTGTTTAGCCGATTTTCGATTAGATGTTTTCATGGTTAAACATTTTTTACTCGTTTTCAGAGAAGAAAATAATAGAGTGAAGCGCTTTTCTTGCAAAATTTTCATTCCATTGTATCTTAGCTTTGTCAATGAATTAAATTATCATTGTCCTATTTCATAATGCTATATGCAAATAAATTCGTTTTCACTTTTATCCATTCTTGTAATTTCCTTAAAAAGTGGTACAAAGTGATCACGTTAATTGGAAAAGGCTATATAAAAACATGCGTTAAAATGAAGAGTTTCATTCATAAATATAAACAAATAGAACATGATATAAATAACGTACCGAGATGACAGGGTGAATTCAAGCATGGTTGACGGCCTTAACTTCGGACGGTTCATTGCGCCGCGCGGCACTCTGATAGAAAAACTTTTAGCAAAAATAATTACTCAAGAATTACATAGTATAATAGTATAGCACACTATTGTTATGTTATTATCATTTCACAACGAAAATGAAGACAATTCAAAGTTAAGCATTACCTCGATTGACAATAAAATCCAAAATTATCTTAAATCTCAATGTAAGATAAAAAAAAGTTGGACGGTTAATTTTATAATCGTTTTAATATTATAAATGCTAAAGTTTAGATAGATTGATGGTTGGTAGAGTTTGCCGCCGAAACGGCTTTCGATGATACTTTGCATGGATTTAGAAGATAGTCTGGAAGAGCACTTAGGCTACTTGCCTGAGCTGTGGGCGAAAACTAGTTATCGCATAGTACGAATATTAGTCGCGTGCAGATCTTTGATTCTATGAATGGAATATAACGAGTACATTAGGATAAATATCATCGTCCTTATAAAACAATACAACACTGTGTTAAGTGAATTAGTGTCATAAACATTTAATGGAAAACTTGTCACAACTACACTTATCTAAATTGATATAACTGCCATAACAACATTATTTTCCTTTTGTTTTTCTCGTTGTAAAAAGTTCAATTAACGTGTATAATGTTTTAAGTTATAATAACATCAGCCGGCAATGTTGAACTTTTGGGTCTATAAAGTGTACGAGTTTGTTGATCTTTTGTTTTGTAATCCTAAAATAACTTGAAACCATGTTTGCATTGAAATTTTAAGGAAGCGTAAAATGCGAGTATTAATGAAATTATTTCAATATTTGAAGGTAACAATTCATCTATATTATTATAATAAAGTGTAAACACAAACTTCTTTGTTGCCTACGATGTCAGCAATTACAGCCTAGTTTTGAATAATTCTTTTATGAAAAAAAGCCCTACACTTACGCTTTAGGCTATATATTTTCAGGCCGTTAAACTTAGGGGGTAAATATTTGGGATTAAGACCCTGATGTGGGAAAGAGACGAGTTGCTGCCAACATCAAGAAAGTAAAGATGCCATCGTCATGTCAATTTGATATTTGCAATTGATAATTTGACACATGTATTACAATAAAATTAAATTTTCATAATTTTATGCGGACGAGGTCGCAGGGGAACAGCTAGTTATTAATAAAAATAATGAATGGAAAATGTTCTATGGATGGCATTTATGTACCTATAGCGATCGTTTTGATTGTGTATGTTACTTTAAAGGGATAAGATACCACTAGGACTTTTAAATTTAGTAAGTTTCATTGACTAATACACTTTTTAGATACACACCGACTTTCAAGATATATGTAGTTAGTAGTTTTATTAAAAATATTACCTTTCATTTCAATAAAAGGTGCATTAGTAACGGTGATAAATGTGAGGTCATTGAACTCTCCGTGAAGGAAACCTATTAGGTATTATTTTAGAATAGTTAGTTCATCAGTTAAAATGTTTTGAACTTAAAGTCCAATCATACTTATAATCTCGGTCTCAGATTAATAACGAATGTGGATGCGTTAAGCGTTGACTTTTGTTTTTAAAGAGATTGACGCCACGAGAGTGTTTTGTCTACTCAGAAACACATTTGCTAATCCCCTCCACGAAGCCGCCGAGTCAACTTATCAGGTAACCTAATTTGTTACTCTGTTTTCTACTAAATATCTTAAGGCTATGTGACTCAATGTCAGCTTACCAGTTATTAGCCAAAATTTACTTTTGTCACTTTTAGGATTGTTGTTTCGGTTAGATTTAATACACTTAGAATTAAAGAATTACTTTATTGTTTTAATTGACCCAATTATTGTTTTGATAAAATGTCTTCAATAAGCAAAAAAATTAATTTTCATCACATAACTGAGGTATTAAATTAAACGTCAAGTTATTAAGTTAAAATACATACTTTTAACTAAACGCTTATTATATGTGTACAAAAAAATAACTGTTTAACGTTAAACGTTTGCTTAACGTTTAAGTTACGTGTCATTAAATAACAGTAGGTAGTGAGGCGAGCTGAGCGGCTGAGCGGCTGAGCGGCTG